AAAAAAAAAAAAAAAAAAAAAAAAAAAAAAAAAAAAAAAAGTCAGAACTTTCAAAAGATGATTAGTACCCAGCACACTGACTACTAAGCAGAAAAAGTACAACCACATCTATTATCATATTGTCCCACCAATACTCCTTGCACCATGACTGAATGCTTTTTCTACTAAGTGGGCTACTTTTCAAAATGGCAAAACAGGAGTTTGGAAAGAGTACATTCTGTCATCTCAAGTCTTTAGCTGTTACTGTAAACCAATGCCCTGCTGCACTTCCAGGACGAGAATTAGGACTCCATGCCCCGTTTGCAGCTCAAGTTCTCTTCCTAAATTTCTCTTCCCATTTTAACCTGCCCACCTGCCCCTGGGCTTCGTCATGGCCTTCTCATTCCTTCATCCCTTAGCTCCCTTACCCCACAAACTGGTTTTGCCTACATTTCCGGTCCCGTATAAACAGCAAATAACATAAATAACAAACCTCAATTCTTAAATGGCATTCTGTCAGCAAAAGGATACTCACCCATTAGGTCTCTTTTCTTGCTAAAAAAAGTGAGTATAATATTTTAGCTTAGTGTGAGACTAAAATTAATCAAGAAATATGGACTGAGTGCTCAGAGGGACAAAGGCAAGAATGGAAAACATACAAAGAAGTACAGTATGTAGCTACTCAAGGATCTTACATCTAGACCGGGGACTGACAAACTATAGTCCACAGACCAAATCTGGTCCCCTCCCTGTTTTTGTAAATAGAGTTTTATTAGAACACAACCATGCTTAAAAAATATATATATATATATATGTATATGTATATATACATATATATATATATATATATATATATATATATATATATATAGCCTATGGCTGCTTTTACACAACAATGGTGGAGTTGAGTAGTTGTGACAGAGACCATTTGGCCTTCGAAGCCTAAAATATTTACTATCTGGCCCTTAATAGAAAAAGTTTGCCCACGCTGATCTGAATTAACATCATGTCTATTTATGGTATATTTAAAGCATCCACCCACCCATCTCTTACTAAATATGTATGTTGCACTGTACTAAGCCCTGAGCGATGCATTAGTGTGAAACAGAGAAGGTTCCTGCCCTAAAGCCCAGAGTCTACTGAACTATGTCAATCTGAAGCAATAAATAAGCACCAAGGGGAGGGCCCGTGCAAAAGAGAATAGAATGTCTGAGGCTGGACAGAGCCGTGGTAACTAGAATTACTGTGAACCACAGAGATGGATTCTGAGTCGAACAGGATGAAGAGGAGGGAGGGGAAGGTCTTGGCAAAATTGGACTGAAGAGGCAGGAAAGTCTGTTCCATGGATGGGGGGCAGCAAGGGGCCACTGGTCTGGATCCCAGTATACTGGGGAGCAACGGGGAAAACGGCATATGATTTGTTCACCCTGGGTCTTCTATACTGGACTTGAGGTTTCGGGAAGGCAGAGACAACATCTGTGTTGTCCATTTCTAGCCCTAGCGTTATGTAACATGCCTGCCAGGTAATAGTTGTTTGATGAATATTGTTTAAAGAATTAAGTAGTAGATGGGGGCACCTGGGTGACTCAGTCGGTTCAACGCCTGACTCTGGGTTTTGACTCAAGTTGTGATCTCAGGGTCGTAAGATCAAGCTCGGCAACGGGCTCTGAGCTCAGAGCAGAGTCCGCTTGAGACTCTGCTTCTCTCTCCGCCTTTCCCTGCACACACACACTCTCTCTCTCTCTCCCCCTCATATATAAATAAATAAATACTTTTTTTTTTAAAGGACTGAATAGTAGATGAATAAATGAATGTCTTGAATATCAGGTTAGATATTCTGTAAGCCAGCTGAGTCAAGCACTTCAACTACGATAAAATGATCTCTGATCATACTTTGATACAAAAGTGTGAGTGAGAAGATAAGAAAGTGGTTGTTTACTGAACAACCACTACATAGCAAGAACTTCGCTTTGACTCAGCAATCCTTTTATTTTGCAGATAAAGAAATTCCATTTTGGAGAGGTTCAAAGGCTGGCTACAGCCACTGACCAGAAAATACTAGAGCCAGAATTCACACCCGCGTCTTAACCTTTGTTATTCTCAGATCCAAGGCTATTGGCACATGCGTGTGCCTACCAGTCACTTTCGTACCACACTCTGCAGACCTTGGGCTCCTCAGAGTCCCCGTAAGGAACATCGTGACCAATTCAGAAGCACTGGGGCCCAAGAGCACAGACTCTCCACCCAGCTTCAATCAAAGCTGTTCTCATCTTCTCTACTTCTATGCGGAGCTTCCTGATTTCATCAGAACAAATAATTCTTGGGGAAACGAAAAAGAATAGAAACCACTGTACTGAGCCAGACCACTTCCTAAAATAAAGCCAGAAGGCCTGCTTTCCAGCCTTCCACCATCACCAGTGTGCTGTGGGATCGCCGCCAGCCACACCTCCTTCCTACCGTTTTGCAAGAAAGGTCGGATGACAGTGCCCAAACCCTGTTGAATTTCTTGGCTTGCCGGAGAGAACAAGATTAAATTAAAAGCTCATTTAATGAATGAAAAAGGCTGGGCACCTTGAGTACAATTCTAGATAAAGTTGTAATTCCATCAAACCCTGTTGAATTTCTTGGCTTGCCGGAGAGAACAAGATTAAATTAAAAGCTCATTTAATGAATGAAAAAGGCTGGGCACCTTGAATACAATTCTAGATAAAGTTGTAATTCCATCAACGGCAGCAACTTACAGGTGTGGGAACAGTTGCCAGACAGAGCTCAGCTGGGTGCCCCAGCTGACACCTGCTCACAGCATCGTACATTAGGATATAAAAAGCAAACAGTGGGTATTTACCCTAAAGATAAAAATGTAGTGATCCAAAGGGGCACGTGCACCCGAATGTTTATAGCAGCAATGTCCACAATAGCCAAACTATGGAAAGAACCTAGATGTCCATCAACAGATGAATGGATAAAGAAGATGTGGTATATATATATACAATGGAATACTATGCAGCCATCAAAAGAAATGAAATCTTGCCATTTGTGACGATGTGGATGGAACTAGAGGGTATTATGCTTAGTGAAATAAGTCAATCCGAGAAAGACAACTATCATATGATCTTCCTGATATGAGGAAGTAGAGATGCAACGTGGGGGGTTTGGAGGGTAGGAGAAGAATAAATGAAACAAGATGGGATCGGGAGGGAGACAAACCATAAGTGACTCTTAATCTCACAAAACAAACTGAGAGTTGCCGCGGGGGAGGAGGGTAGGGAGAGGGTGGTTGGGTTATGGACACTGGGGAGGGTATGTGCTATGGTGAGTGCTGTGAAGTGTGTAAACCTGGTGATTCACAGACCTGTACCCCCGGGGCTAATAATACATTATATGTTAAAAAAAAAAAAAAAGGCAAACAGGAGCCAATCTTTTGGCCTTACCTGATAGCACCCAGAATGACCATGACAGAATGCAGGGACCTTTGCAAATGGTCCACCGAGGCACGCTGACTCACCGATAGAGGTGTAACGCGTGAATATACTGATTCTGGAAGAATTCGTAGCTGGAAACAATGCCACACTTCTTGATGGCTCGGCCATTCTTATACCAAGTTACCTCCGGCTTGGGCTGACCTGATAATGAAGAAAAGAAGAAATTCTTATTACATTAAGTATTTTTAGGAAAGAAAATCATAAAGCCACTAACGAGAATGGGTGAGCATGATAAAGTATGTCAGCCGGGGAACCGGAAAATCTCCCTTCCCCTGACTCAAATGCATCATTCGCTAAGCAGTGACTGATTAAAATTCCCAGATTTAGTAAAGTTACATGTAAACTGGTCGATTTTTATCCAACGGAGATCTAAGTAATCTTGCCTGGCAGAAAAAAAATTACTCTGTAAGTCATGACTTATTGACCTACAGGACATTACCCAGGGGTTTACCTAGGTCAGCAATCTTCTAACATTCTTTTATTAAATTGCCTATAAATAACTAATTCCTCAAATGTCCTCTGACCAGGACTTCCCACTGTGCAGTTCCCTCTTTACTCAAAGAACTGAACAAAACCATTGAAATGTTTGTTTCGTATTTGCATGGAAGTCCCTCGACCTTTGGAAAATTATACTTCAGCAGTGCTCAGAGTGGAGCGTATGTTATGGCACGGTGGAGGGAAGAACGGACGGGAGGAGCCAATGAGGCCTCCCGAGGGTGAAGGAGTCCGGGGTGTATGTGTCCCAGGCTGGGACTGTGCGTACCTGAGTGAGGTCGTCATGGGAACTGCCCTATGCCTTCTCCCTCCAAAGCAGCTTGCCTGGCCCTTGTGATGCTCGTGGACTCATCTGGTGAAACCCCCAGGAATTCCAGTCACCTCTTGGAATTCCCCCCGCCTTGTGATAGGCGGAGGAAGGTTTCCAGTGTGTCTCAAGGAGCTACCCCCCAAGCCTCTGTATCATTGAAAATGTATCAAAATGTGCCACATGTGTAGGAGGAAAGCCCAGTATTGGGAAACAAGACACTTTCTAGATCCAGCCTTCCTGTGGTTCAGTCTGATTTATCTCAGCATATTTGGTGAGCAGCCCCTGAGACCACTGAGAGAACTCCGTGTGCTTCTTTTGTTTTTTGGGGTTATTTTTACTATTTTATTTATTTATTTGACAGAGAGAGATCACAAGTAGGCAGAGAGGCAGGCAGAGAGAGAGGAGGAAGCAGGCTCCCTGCCGAGCAGAGAGCCCCATGTGGGGCTCAATCCCAGGACCCTGAGATCATGACCTGAGCTGAAGGCAGAGGCTTAACCCACTGAGCCACCCAGGTGCCCCTCCGTGTGCTTCCGAGACCTGTGCCGTGGACAGGAGCTGAGTGTGCTCGGAGCCCTGCCTCCCTCTCTGTGTCTCGTCTGATTCGGGGTCTCCCAGCTAGGCTACCTCTGTGCTAACACCACGAATGTGCTTGGTGGTATCTGTGGTTGTTACTCCTTGCCCCCACCCATTTAGGTAGGTGCCACATCAGTCCCCGGAACTGGGAACAGACAGATCTGCGTGCAAGGACACATTCTTCTTTACCAGTGGCTTGGCTGAGTCCCTTCCAGGCAAACGACTAAACCTCCAAAAATGAGCTTCCTTGAAAAACCATCAAGGACGTTGCTGATCATAATTCATTTCCGCCCGTTCTTATCAGCCTCGCATCCCCCCTTTCAGTCAGTTTTATTAGGTTCCTCCTTAGGAAGCATCTAATTGCTCCTTTTTTGTGTATAATTGACTTTTTTTTTTTTTTTTAAGAAGTTATATAGGGGCACCTGGGTGGCTCAGTCAAACTTCTGCCTTCGGCTCAGGTCATGATCCCAGGGTCCTGGAATCGAGTCCCTCATTGGGATCCTTGCTCACTGGGGAGCCCGCTTCTCCCTCTGCCTGTCCCTCCCCATCCTTGTGCTCTCTCTCTCTTTCTGACAAATAAAATCTTTAAAAAGAAGAAGAAGAAGAAGAAGGTAAATAAAGTATGCATGTAACTGGGCCTGAGAAACTCATTCTAATCACTTGCACTCCCATTTTTTTTTTTTTAATTCAGACTGATCAGGACTGGTTGATGCCCCTACTTTCTTCATGGTTGACTGGTATTTTCCTTTTGTGCAGTATAGATCTGAATAATCAGCCATAAATGAGACCTGCACAGGGAAGTGGTATCTTAGACCTTGTGGGCGGTTCTCTTCTCTCCCTCCACTTGCTGGAAACCTCACCCAAAAATCCTACCCTTGTTTTCTTACGCTCACCTGCAGGTCACATACTAAGAGCCACCTCCAAAATGTTTCACAAGCACCTGGCTAATGTGTGTGGGGACTGGTGGCCAAGTTTGGGGCATGTCCAAGCAGTGGGGCTTCCTGAGGAGCCGCAGAGGCCCAAGTACGAAGGCCCAGTGGTGGACTTGTGCCTGTCCCTCCTACGATAGGCTGTGGACAAACACCAAGAGGGGATGGGGCTTGGCTCTGCCCTCATCGAAGAGCCTGAGCACACAGTTGTGTACCCCAGCCCCCAGACCAGAGATGAGATTTTATCATGACTTTGGCTAAGGAAGCCTGGCCATTTCTGAAGCTGGCTCTTTTCTTCTTCTCTAGAAAAAGGGATCTCAGGGGAGAAGAGTTTTCTGTGAACCCTCAGGAAAGACCACTGGTGCCTCTACGTTTCGGAAAGTAGAGACAGAATCCAAGAAGGAAAACAGCTCACAAGGTACAAGAGACCACTTCGCTACCCTTTTATTTTGCTTCTACTATTTCCTTTTAATACTAAATCCTTCTTACCACTGGGGGGGTCCCTATTTGGGCTTGGGTCTGGGTTTTGCACTCTCCAGTCCGGGGAGAGTTCCAGTTCCAGGTCCCTGCTTTTCCTCCACTGGGCACCCTCTGCCTTGGTTGTGGCCTCTGTACTGCTAACTGGGCCACCCGAAGATGGCAAGCAGCCTGAGATGCATCTAGCCAGCTTGGGGATATCAAGGAACGAGCGATGGAAGAATTCAGTAAGTTGTCTGAAGCAAAGTTATTCATGCCATTCCTATGCACACAGGAAATGAAGAGTGTATTATTTGAAAAAATAACCGGTATGGGAGTCGTCTCACCAAGAACCACAATGTGAAGTGAAAAAGATCACTAAAACGTGTCCAGGAAGTTACTCGAAGAAATCCTCCAGAAAAAAGAAAAGAAGTCATCATAGAAGGTTTAGTTGTTCTGCTCGCCATTCAGGCCAAACTTCCCAGATCCTTCCCACAAATGATGTTTTAATAATGCCCTTTGTGACCCTAAAACCCTAGTCCACAGGGAGATTTCAGAGGGTAATTAGCTGCTGACGGTTACCAGATACAATGCAGCGAAGCACGGCATCTGACTTCTCAGGAACTTTCTGGGAAAGCAATGTAGATAGAAAACAAAGTGTGTGCCTCTGGGGCTCTCCCGAGTCTGTCATCCTTTCATGCCACGTGAATCTGAAAAACAAAAATCCCTGACATCACACCAGTGGTTCCAGGACCCCTCTGACTTTCCCGGTGGCTCTTTGGGAGGGAAGGAGCCAGCAGCACTCCCTGGCTTGGAGAAGGCTGGACCTTGGCACTCAGGCAGATGGGCTGGTTTTCTCAGGACCAGATGCTTCACTGCAGGGGGCTGTCCTGGGCCCTCTCGAATGCTCAGCAGCACCCCTGGCTTCCACCCAGCAGATGCCACCAGCACCCCTCCCCCAAGTCGTGACCATTGAAAATGTCTGCAGACATCTCCAGTTTCCCTGGGGAGGGCAGCCCCAGTGGAGAACCATGGATCCTCGAGGAGGGTCAGGTAGCCTGAGCCCAGACTAAGAGAGAATCACCTAAGCCCTCAGCCACTGCCATGTCTCCTTTCTCTTTTCTTCCTGTCCTCAAAGTCTTTTCACTGGACTCAAAAAGGACATAGCCACACTTGCCTCCAAAATAGAGGAGCTGATGGCGTGCAGATGAATCTCCAGGAGGAGGGTACTTTGAAACTGGGAAAGTACCGCTCCTTTGCCTAGCATTTTTGGGCAAGTCTGGGCTCCCGGATACAAGAAGGCATTTAACACCTTATTAGTCACCATGTGTGTTAGTTCATTTCATGTCTTTTAAATTCCCTGAATGGTGATTAGCACCTCCTGCCCCTTACCAAGGAGGAAACGGAGGCCCAGAGAGATGTGACAACTTGCTCAAGATCACACAGCTCAAGTGGCTGCTGCCCTCGAGCATCCTTCGTGGCGGTGCCGGCTGACACTGTCAGCGTGCAGGGTCAGAGTTGCCGGAGTTGCGCAGTGCGCAACTTACACCCCCTAAGAAGGCAGGTCTCTCCGAACCCAGAGGACCCTTTCCACAATATCCTCTGGGTACAGAGCTAGCACCGCTCTGCCCAAACCATCCTCTGGAGAGCCCCACGCTTGTAAATAACATTTCACACCGTCCAAATGGGAGGCTCCCATTTCTCCTTACCTTGGTGAGCAAGTGCCATGTGTCATGTACCACCAAGCTAAGGAGAAGGACAGCCCCCTTCACAGTAGGATCCATTTGGCGTGGACGGGAGAGGGGCACTTAGACCTGCAAATGGTGATTCCGGGAATGCTGAAGGTCCTACAGCAGGAGCAAGTGGAGCTCTGGGTGGAGGAGGCTGGATCTTCCTGGTTACAACTGTATTCTAGGAGGGGAAACCTCTCTCGTATGGGTGGACCAGTTTCTTAACTGTTTAGGAATTGGTTCTAAGTTGCAGGGCCTGGTTCAAGATGAAAAGGAAGGGTTCCCTGTTCAAAAATTATTAAGCTATTTGTGATGGCAACAACTGGGCACCGGGGCCCTTCGGGGGGCAGGGATCAGTGTGTGAGGCCCACATTGTGGGATCCCAAGGCCGGCCCTGCCTGGTTGACACAGCCCCGGGAAATTCAGCTCATGAATGACCCCTAGCTCTTTCTTCCCCTTTAGGCCTGTCCTGCAGCTTCTGATGTTCCCACAGCATTTCCTTAATCTCTAGGTATTTTGTTTAGAAATAAGGTTATTCCTTGAAAACAAACAAAAAAAACATTCCCAAACTGAAACACCCAAGCTCTCTGAATATCAGGGTAAACATAATTTAGGAGAATACACCCCCTTCCCTTTCTCCTTCCTTTCCTTTCTTCCTGTACAGGAAGCAACCTTGTGCTTTGACCTAAGGTTCAGCTAATGGGGAGAAAGAGCCAGAAAGCTGAAGAAGCAGTATGTTAGCATCAAAAAGGAAGACAACTGCTTGGGTTTGGAACAGAGCATAAGGGCAGGGAGAGAAGCCTGAGGAGCTGCGGGAATGTAGTGGGGAGGAGTGTGGGAGATTGAGCCAGAGAGGCAGAAGGGAGGATTGTAAGAAGTTTTGTTCTCTGGTTGTTAACTGGACCCTCTCGACACTCTTTAATAAAGACTTGAATTGCATTTCCAGTGGGTTTTGGTTATAGAGCATTTTAATTCAGCTGTGCGGAGACTGGACCCGAGGGGACTATGGTTAACAGGGGTTATATTTTAAAGCATCATAAGCCCCTCTCGATCTAGATGGTAATTTAGTGGGACGCCTGGGTGGCTCAGCTGGTTAAGCAGCTGCCTTGGGCTCAGGTCATGATCCCAGCATCCTGGGATCAAGTCCCACATCGGGCTCCTTGCTCCGCAGTGACCCTATTTCTCCCTCTGCCTCTGCCTGCCACTCTGCCTGCCTGTACTCTCTCTATTTCTCTGACAAATAAATAAATAAAATCTTAAAAAAAAAAAAAGATGGTAATCTAGTTGAACAGAACAGAAAGAAACTCCATCTGCAAGATGGCAAAGAGACACCTGCACTCCAGATTATGTGATAAGTACATTTGATGGTTGATGGTTCCGATCTGTATAAAAAGGCCAGATTTGACATGTCTTACTACTTACTCAGCAATCACAGAAATGCCTAATGGAAAAACTCTCTCACCTAGGTTGAAAGAAGTCTCAAAACCAAATAACTCCAAAGGACAACTCTCATGGCAGCCACCTTGCGCAAGGATGACACTATTTAGAGAAGACGTGGTGAGTGTGGCTGAGTTACTGTATGACTAGATGGCTAAGCCAGAATGAGCGCGGGTCCCGCAGTGCACAGAGAACCCAGAAAATGAATGGAAACATGCTATCCTTTCACTGCCCAGGAAATGCTGCCCCTCCACTCCACCCCCACAAACATGCGCAGAAAGTAGCAGCTTTTCGCTTAATGGCCGTGTGTCTGTTTATCCGTTTCAGAGGTTTGAGCTGGTGATGGAAGCTAGAGCTGGGGGTTTGACTTGAGATAAAAGTTAATATTTCTCAGTATTATTGAACAAACAATGTTAGGGCTAAATGTAAGCATAAGGCAGTAAGAATGGAACCCAAGACCAATTTTAAATTTTTTTTGGTATTTTACAACTGAAAGTGCAAGTTGTATTCATGACCTCCTCTACTGGTTTAACTCAGTATAAAATATAGAACAAGGGTTGGCAAACACATAAAAGTATAGCTTCAGAAAGAGAGAGAAAGAAGAAAAGGAAAGGAAAAAGAAAAGAAAAGGGGCGCCTGGGTGGCTCAGTGGGTTAAGCCTCTCTGCCTTCGGCTCAGGTCATGATCTCAGGGTCCTGGGATCGAGTCCCGCATCGGGCTCTCTGCTCAGCAGGGAGCCTGCTTCCCCCTCTCTCTCTGCCTGATTCTCTGCCTACTTGTGATCTCTCTCTCTGTCAAATAAATAAATAAAATCTTAAAAAAAAGAAAGAAAGGAAAGGAAAGGAGGGCAAGGGAAGGGAAGAGAGAGAAGGAAAGGAAACAAGGAAAGAGGGGAAGGCAGAAGGAAGGAAGAAAGAAAGGCAAGAGAAAGAGGGGTAGAGAGATTTAGAACCGTCCTCCAAATAAGGATATTTGGGATATTTATTATTGGTCTGGTAAATTTCCCAAAGATGATAAGCATGCAATTTACATATCTTATATCCCCAGTTAGTATATTGATTGGACATGGCACATAGGTAGGTTTTCCTACCCAAGAAAAGCAGTGGAGTAAGAGTCAGAAGTTTTGGTTCTAACACAACCATTTATCATATTTGAGAGGCAACATCGCACAGGGGGTTAAGAGCTCCAGAGCCAGATACCCTGGGTTCACACTCCAGCTGCACTCCTTACTAGCCTTGTCAATAAGCGTGTCAGAGCCCCTCCATGCCTCAGCTTCCTCATCTGTAAAATGGTCTATACGTCATAGGTTGTTATAAAGATCAAATGAGTTATTGCCTGTAGAGCTCTTAGTACAGCACTAGGCACAAATGTAAGTGCTCAGGTGATTATTGAAAAAAAAAAAAAAACTAGCCCATACAACTGGCAGCGAGGCTGAGAGCTCTATGACACTTTTTTTTTAAATCAGCTTTAATGAGATGTAATTCACATGCCATATAATTTGGTCATTTGCAGTATGCAATTCAGTGGCTTTCAATATATTCAGAGTTGTGCGACCATCACCACAATCAATTTTAGAACATTCTCGTTTCCCAGAAAGAATCCCCCACTCTTTAGTTTTCGAGTCCTGATCCTCCCGTCCCTCCACCCAAACACACACACAGCCCCAAGCAACCACTAATCTACTTTCTGTCTCTGTGGATTTGCCTATTCTGGACATTTCGGGTAAATCGAACCACACGCTACGTGGTCCTTTGTGACTGGCTTCTTTCTCTTCGTACATTTCCAAGGTTCTTCCGTGTTGTAGCACAGGTCAGTATTCAGTCCTTTTTACACCATTCTGCAACCCTTCTTCAGAGCAGCTGTCGGGGCAGAAGTGTGTGACTCCCCTGGCTCTCCACATTCCTAGGACACTTACTCAGACAACCAGGAAGGTAGCAGAGGAAGGGCTCCAGAGTCCAGAAAACTCTCCTCATCAGTAAGCATCATAGGACTGAGGACCCACCCAACCCAGGCTTTGTCACTTGTCAGGGACAAATCTACATCTAGCTCTGCCACTTACCTGGTCAAAGTTCTTCATCTGTAAAAGAAGATAATGCTAATATTCTAAAGATTACAATAATCCTTATGGAAATGGCCCAGGGAGAATCTGCTACATAATTGGTTTCTGAGGTGATAATCAGTAGGCTTTAGGGAAAGACGTCACTCGGTTTCATCAATTTCCTTTCCTGCTGTGGGTTACCACAATAATTTTTTTAAGTGATATACCAATTAAATGTCTAAAAATCTCTCCTCGTGGAACATTCACCTGTAATAATAATCTCAAGACATGGCTCCTCCCATTCCCATGCCCAGGGTCCACTGCTATGGATGGAAAGGGAAGAAAGGACAAGTCAAACTGCCAAGAAGAGCTGGGGTGACACTGGGAACCTTATGTGTCATCTCTGACTCCTCCCCAGTGAAGTCCCACAGGTCACAACACTAACAAACAGGCTATTTGACTCATAGAGATGGTTCAGTCATCAGCACAGTGCTGACTATAAAGG